TTAAAACTCTCAGAATCAATACTTTTTCAAATGCATACAGTTATCCAAGACACTGAATTTATATATGTGAATCTCATTCAAACACATGGAAGTATATAAAAATGAAAAAAAAAGCAGATACTGTCGTCTTGTTTTAGTCAACAAAAGGTACTCTGTATGTACAATGATGTAGTGTTACAACTTGAGTGCTGAGGCTACCAGACAAGACTAGACAAAGCAAATTTAAAAAATACCATTCTAATTAAACTAGTTCCTTCATGTGGATCACTGATCGTGTTTTGGCTTTGCTCTTGACTTTTTAACACCAGGAGATATTTCTAATGGCTGTGGCTGAGAGCTTTAGGCCCAGTACTGCTTATGATCAGCTAACACCTGTTGCGGTAAAAAGCTATTTTAGTTGCACAGTCCCAGGATTAGTTTCATAGACCAAAATAAACCCATACAGTTGAGTGAATAGCTTTAAACTTTGGAAAAATTTTGCTGAATGTGTGGTCTAAACCTACTGAAATATATATGGCATATTAAAGCCGTACTGGAAAATGGCACTGTGCACATGCTGATGTCTCAGCCAGTGCAGGAAAGTAAATTTTCCTCTCTGTCACTTTGATACTTTCAGGATTTCTGCCTGTCTCTCTGGTTTACCTAACTGACAGCCAGACACAATTTCTTTAAAAAGAAAATAGCATTTAAATCACAGTAATTTGAAGAGACCTTAAAAAAAAAATCACAGGTGATCATATGATTGACTCTGTCATGTGCTATCTTGATGTAACAACTCATTAAAATCAGTAAAAGACCTAGTAAAGGAAAATATGTAACTTCTGCTAATTCATGTCATACAGGCTCAAGCATTTTATAATTTTTTGTTTCTTGTTACAGTGCAAAGGTCTTGGCTTAATACCCTAAAGGTGCCACGTAGAATTTATATTAGATACTGTTAGGCAAGAAAATATTTAAGACCTAACCAAGCAATAACACATTTTCCCCATGCAACACTGAAAAAGAAACACTAACACAGGACTTGGAATAATGCCTGAAATATAATTCATTTTAAGTGTATAGTACAAGTTGTGGTGTTTGCAAAGAAATTGTACATTATCCTTGTCTTGGTAGTTTTACTCCAAGACTGGTCAATTAGTATTCTGTAACTCCAAAGACTTTGCATATTGTTGGAGTTTAAAAAAAAATAAAAAATTGTCAAAGCCATATGAAAAAAAGATGTCAGTTGCCAGCCAAAATTACTGTTTAATAAGAAAAAACCAGAAATTTTGAAAACAGGTGCTTTTGTGTTGATGTATATATACTTTTAATTTGCAGTATAAGTTGGTAATATTTTGATTTTCCAGTCCAAATCACCCATAGAGTAACTTGTAAGTGTACGATAGATTTTAGTGTTGAGTGAAAGTGTGAAATTAAACGGTTGCATCAAGCCATATATAGCACAAGTTTTGATAATTGTTAAACATATTAACAGGGCCTTTGATGTTTATTTGATGTCAGCAATTCTTTTGACCTTGAGGAGGAGAGATGTAGGTGGAGTAGAATACGCACTAATATGAGTATTTCCTCTGTTTAAATCTTAAAAAAAAAAAAGGGGGGGGGGGAAGAAGGAGGATGGGGAAAAGAGTGATATACTGAGTCTATTGAGTAGTCAGTGCTATGAGCTAGATTTACTGGATAAATTATGGACTATCTTTTCTTCTTTGCCTTTCTACCTGCTAACCACTAAATATATCCGCTGTCATAAGATATACAGAAACCTTGCATTCCCATGGTATGAAAATACTATTTTCCTTGTTTGTGTCCCTTATCTTGTTCGTGTTGCTCTCTTAAGGACATAATTATGCCAAATAGGATTAGAATTTGTCAAGTCGTAACAAGAATCATCTGGAGTGAGAACCTAATGTACTATTTTTAGAAAATATGAAGGTGTTCATAGATAATCAAATGTGACTGGAAAATATACAGCCTTAGGTCTTCTAATTGCTTGTACCTAAAGCAATCCTATGTTTCTATACATTAACAGTTTATTTATCTGAAGATTTGCTGTCTTGAACAGATGCCCAAAATTTGTTTTTTTCAGATTAGTAGGTATTACACAACATTGACACATGCAATCAAATGTCGAATAGTATTGTCACTAATACTTAGGAAGGTGAGGAATTTATAGGTACTCAAATTACCACCCGGATTAGTGGTGTGAGTTCCAACTTATTATTTGGGAATGTTGTCTGCAGTGCCACTGGTTATAGACCACAGAAGCTGCAGTGAAAAGTTGATCTGAAATTGTTTGCTTCAGCATCCTCTTTCTTTGTTCCCAAGTTAGCCACTGTTGTTTGTTGAGAACTATTATGTAGTCATGATGTTTTAGGTAAATCGAGGCCTGTACTGCAGAACCCATTAATGTAACTTCTCACATACAAACATTGAAACCAGTAGCCTTGAATTTCGCATATTGTGTTTTGTTGCTGCCTTTTCCAATTCATTGTCCAAGAGGAATTTTTAATTTTTGTCAGGCTATGTTTGAATTTTGAATCTAAAGTCGTGCGCTAAGGTGATAGTCTCAGCGAAATAGAAAGTATTCTGTATATATGTGTATAGGAATGGGAGTTGTTTCCATCTGAATTTCAGATTATTCAATTTCAATAAACTGATTATTAAGTTTATTAAGAGACTGGAGGAGCTTCCCTGTTAGTATGAACAAAACATAGCCTCTGCAAAATAATAGTCTTTAGTCTTTGTCTGGAATGAATTAGATGGGGATTTACAGAGACACATTTTAGTTTAAGGGTTCAGTTTTAACACAATGATATAATAACACGTATAGAGATTTACATGCAGTAATTATATATCATTATATATAAACAATACGAATTCTATGTAATGGTAGAGAGGTTTTGTATGTAATACCATGATGGGAAATAAAGAAAAAATCTTGGGGTAGCATTGAACTGAGGACAATGGTGGATCAAAGGCAAAAACCTGTTTATTCCAATCATTATTCAACATTCTGTAATACTAAGTGCATTTTAAAGTTTATTGGCAATTTCATCTCTGAGAATACAGAGCATGTGTACTGTGATGATTCTGAAATACAAATTTTAATTTAAATATAGATAAAAGGAGATAGCAGTTCCTTTAGGTTTCTAAGCAACTTTTTTGCATTAAAATATTTATATTAGCCAAAAGAACAGTATTCTGTGTTTAAAAACAATCCTTTGGCATATATATTTAAATCAGATTAAGCATGAAATACTACTTTTTGTCCAGTTAAATATGTAGCTTACCTTTTGCCTATTTAGAAAACAGTAATGTATTTTAGTTGCGTATTTATTGTATTTTGAGGTTTTGTGTATATGCATAGTTATTGTGGTTTCCTCTTAATTTCTTGTCACTGAAGGATTAGCAAACTATTGAGTGTTGTGATAAGAATAAAAACACTACCAGGAGGAATTTAAGGTCTGTGAAACCTTAGCGTTATGTGTTCGTTGGTGATGGTATATAATCAGATCTTCTTTTGATTCTTATTTATTTCTAAATCTTTGTGATAGGCATATACAATAGAATCAGTATGTGTGCTGGATTTGAACAGAGAAGCTACTTGCTCTGTTTCAGCAAATAAGAAATGTTCATATACCAGGCAGAAAAGCAAAAAGATTGACTGGATTGTTTTGTTGCCAATCCATGGTTCTACTGCTTAATTGTAACTAGAAATCTAGTATTTTTCTTATCGTCTTGATATTTATGCTTTTCAATACAACATACAAAAATGCACTGGTATTGGAAACCACTTAGTCACTTTATTTTACCTTATACAGTTCTAACACAAATACTGTTTAAAGTTACAAATCCCATTCCAGAAGCTCCCAGTACTACTGGAAATAATCTGTGTTCAAACTCAATTAATAAGGAAGTTCATATTCTAAGGATGTTTCTCAAAACTTGTATTTTGTGCTTCTCTCTGGACCTTGCCTTCCCTTAATCTTTCTTAGGCAATTAGAAATATTTTTGTAAAGCTTATCTAACTACTTCCTAGGGCAAAGTTTCCTGTATATACCTTTTTCAGAATTGCAAGGAGTATCTTCTATAAAATTCTATTCTGTTGAAAATACGTAGATTAAATTTAAAGAAACTTTTCCACAATAGTGTGGCATCTTTCAGATTTTTCCATAAATCAATTATTTTAAATTCTATTTCACTTTACCTTTTTTGTCACCAGTTCAGTGCTAGGAGAAATGTAAAAAAAAAAATTCAAATTAAACAAGTGTTACTTGAACATAACTTTTTTTAAAATAAAAACTTGCTTTAATTACACAGAAATTTAAATGTCAGATTATTTGGATGAGACTGTAGAAAACAAAATCAAATTCTCCCTAATATCATTCTAATTTTCTTCTCTTGTTTGTTAGGATTGAACTCAATAGAAGTTTTAATGTCAAATAATCCTTTGCTGTATGTTTAAAACCAAATTGGCCACTTGTACGGTAACTTTCAGTGATGGCCCTTCACCAGAGATGACGAGATATGTCTGCAAAGCAACTGCAAGAAGCAAGAATTTTCCGTGTTCATGCCTGTCATATGCCTCCAATCAGTTTTTTTAATGTACTCACTACTGTGCACAATACAGGATGTTGAAAAGAAGCGACTGTGTTTTTTCATCTTACAGAAAAGCATAGAATGAGTTATAAGGTTGTAATTTTGCTTTTAGTTATTTTGAAGAAATGAGGTTTTCATGTTAATTATCTGAATGAATTTATGAAAATCATCATATAATGATATACTTGGTTATATGAAGCAAGACTAATGATAAATAGACATTAATTAATCCACATAAGTAATTTGGAGATCTTAATTATATGTGGCTTTTTGGAAAAGCAAACAAAAAAGCTGCTGAAGTATCTTAACTGAAATTGGTAATGGAAATAAACTAGAAAGGGATTTTTTTTATTTTTTTTTTATTTTTTTAGAAATCCCTCCCAGTGTTTTCTGTTTGTTTGTAGCTTAAAATATGTTAGCAAATACCTGAGTGAATCTAAACTAAAGGTCATTTTTCTGGTGGCGGTGACAGAGGAACAGAGTGATCCTCAGGGTGCCGTATGCAAGCGCCTTCAAGTAAGTCATTTCACCACATCCTGGCAATTTGGACAGTAAGCAGAATATTTCTGGTTCACTGATGGGCTGATGTGCAAACTCTTGGGTATTCCACAACTGGTTGCAATTAAAAGTGCTCAGAGTTTGCAAGTCCACTTTCAAATGGTAGCTCCATCATACCAATCATAGTATTTTGCTAGGCTACTGTTAGTTTATCAGTGAACAAGGTACAAGAATAAAAGAATAGTCTTACTTAAAGCACAGATTTATAATAAGGAACAATCAGAAAATATTCAAATTATTTAGAACTGCAGTTAACAAGGTTCATCTTTACCTCTTCCAGCTTGTCTAGCGTGTCTAATAAGCCCATGTAAGCTCTTCCTGACATAGATGTCAGAAAGAATTCCTATAGAAACTTCTGCTTTTTTAAATTGCCAATGGAGTAATGCAGAGGAGTTGCTCTGAACAACCTATACCTTTTGTAAGTCATGGCTGACTGATACAGTCTTATTCACCTGCCCTTTGGAAGACTTAGTTTTGGTTTGGGTTGTCAGTTGGACAACTTAGTGTTGTATAATGCTCCTCTGTGTATCGCAGCTTTTTCAGGGTTAACTTTGCTGTTTTATCTTGAATATATTACATTCTTGATTTTACAGCTGCAAGCTGCTTTCTCTGTGTGTGGTTTCTTTAAAACCAAACATTGTAACTTCATACATAATAAACAGATACATTTGTATGTATGTTTACGTACAAAATGTGTACATACAAAATACCAATGGCACAAGCTTCCTTGAAGATTCTTGCTAGCTTGTTTTGAATTTTGTATGGGCATTGCAAATCGTGCAACTATTATTTCTGTTTCTCTAACAGAAAGTTATTAGAGTGATCAGGGAGTACATCACACCTAGGTTAAATTCTCAGTGATGATGAGGCTGAATCATTCATTAATGGTACTTGAAAGTTAGGCTGGGTTTGGCAGAACTCAGGTGACTGGTTTTGATCTGGGTGTCACTAGAAATGTGCACCTATCTCACAATTCAGGTAATAGTTGCCATTTTGTTCTTATATAGTAACAGGAATATTATAAAGATATTGTACAATAACAGACTACTTTGTTATTATGACTTTAAGCATCATGTCGTTTCATTCCAATGTCATATAAGGTTGATATATTGAATGAAATATTCTGTTTTGTACAATGTTTTGGTAATCTCCTTTTTACACTTTGATATGGTGGGAGAAGATGATATAAAGGGTTCTTGTTTGTAGGAAAAAATGTGTGGAAGAATTGGATAAATTAGTTTTCCCATGTGAAAACATTCCATTCAGTGCAGAAAATGTTGCATAACTTTATTTTCTTTCCTTTCTTCTCACCCCATCTAATTGTCCTGTTTTTCTTTTTATACATTTTATT